CTCTGTGCTTGATTCCCTGGAACCTGGGGTTCTCATGGAAAAGTTTTTGGGGGTTAGAGTGAGGAGACCATGTCCCTCAGATGCCACATCTGTGACTGTCACCTTTGGGATTTGGGGTTTCCATGAGGATTTGGGGGATCCCCCATCACCCATCTGTGTGGCACCTGTTTATCTCTCCCCTCCTCCACCTGCACTCTGGCCCTGCCTCATCCTTGCATCCCATCCCTGCCTCAGTCTCCTCCTTGGCTTCTAGACTCAGACCCTCTTCTTATCTACTCTCCCACTGGGCAGCCAGGAGGATCTTTCCCCCCAACCCTGCCCTCTCCCAGAGGAATCTTCTTAAAGTCTAAATGTGAATTTCTCTTCCACAGCTAAAATTTTCCATGGCTCCCTAGTGTACTCAAGGTAAAATCAGCTCTTCAAAATGAATATTTAGGGTCTCTTGCAATCTAGTCCCAAAAGATAACTTTGTTTCTGGCTTCTCTCTTCTCCCTCTACCTCCCTGAACTCTAGTCCTCTTAATCCCACAGTGGCAGGTCTGGGAAGGCTTTGAACTTAGCCTGTCTCCTACCCTCCTGTCAAGGCTGCTCTGGGAGAGTTGTTGAGGAGCCTGGAAGGCCTAATAACATCGTGGCTAAGAGATCAGGCCTGGGGACTCTGGAGTCAACCTAAATGGTCTCCAGTAGGGGGCTGGTCTACCAAATTATGGCTCTCAACCAAAACACAGGATTTACAGCAAATACATAGGATAAAGGAACACAGTAGATGACATCACATGAGTATAACCAGGCAAATACAGCATGTCAGGCATTCTCCAAGACACCTGGCCTGAGCTTTTTTGGAAAGTTAATATTGTCTTTTAAAAAAAACATGGGGCATCTGGGTGACCTCAGTTGGCTGAGTCTCCAACTTTTGGTTTTGGCTCACATCATGGTCTCAGGGTCCTGGGATTGAGCCTTGTGTCGGGCTCCATGGTCACTGGGGAGTCTGCTTGAGATTCTCTCTCTCCCTCTGTCTCTCCCCCTGCTCACACTCTCTCTCTTTCAAATAAATAAATCTTTAAAAAAATCCTGAGGACTGTACCAAAAATATACCCAAAACACTAAAGAGACATAACAACCAAATGCAAAGCATCAACATGGACTGATTCTGGTTTAAAAAAGGATAATAACAGCCATGAAAGCTATTATGGAGACAATTGAATAAATGAATGTGAATGTGATATTAAATACTAAGGAATTATTGATATTTTCCTAGATATGAGAATGGTGGTATGGGCATGTAGGAAGGAGGTTGTTCTTTTTTTTTTTTTCCCCTGCAGACAGGAGGGGGCTCAGCCCAGCCAGCTAGGAGGATGTTCTCATCCTTTTTATTTTAAAGGATATTTATTTATTTATTTATTTATTTATTTATTTATTTATTTTAGAGAAGAGAGAATGAGCAGGGGAAGGGGCAGACAGAGAGGGAGAGAATCTCAAGCAGACTCCCTGCTGAGCGAGGAGCCCAACATGGGGCTCACCTCAAGACCCCATGATCTGACCTGAGCTGAAATCAAGAGCTAAACACTCAACCAACTGAGCCATCCAGGCGCCCCTGTTCTTATTCTTAAGACATGCATCCTGAGTTGCCACAGGACTATAACTTCTTTCAAATGATATGGGGCACACATTTACATTAAGAGATAAGAAAAGAGGGATCTCTGGGTGGCGCAGTGGTTTGGCGCCTGCCTTTGGCCCAGGGCGCGATCCTGGAGACCCGGGATCGAATCCCACATCAGGCTCCCGGTGCATGGAGCCTGCTTCTCCCTCTGCCTGTGTCTCTGCCTCTCTCTCTCTCTCTCTGTGACTATCATAAATAAAAAATAAAAAAAAAGAGATAAGAAAAGAGGAGAGAAAAAGCAAATATGGCAAGGTTGTTGGATCTAGACAGAAGGCGTATAAGTGGTCAGTGGTCATTCTTTAAATTGTGTTTGCAAATTTTTTATGCTAAGTGTCAGAGAAAATGAAATCATCAATGATGAGAGTCCATACAACAGAACAATCTGCAAATGTTAAAAATGAGACAGATCAGCAAACCACAGAGAAAATTAACAAAGCCCAAGTTGATTATTTGAAAAAAATTAATGAGATTGATAAAATCCTTAGTTAGACTAATCAAGAGAGAAAAAGAACAAAAATGACCAATATCAAGAGTGAGAGGTCATTTCTACGAATTCTGTAATTAGACAATTTAAATGAAGTGACAACTCCTTGAAAAACACAAAGAGTGAAAGTTTGTGAAATAGAAAATATGAAAAGCCCTATATTTATTAAAGAAATTGAATTCATTATTTAAAAAAACTTCCCACAAAATAAAATCCATAAATAAAATAAATAAATAAAATCCCATAAATAAAATCTTAAAAAAACAAAAACAAAAACCTCCTCACAAAGACAACTGGCTTTGTGGTAGATTCTAACAAAGATTAAAGGAAGAACCAGGGGTGTCTGGGTGGCTCAGCATCTGCCTTTGGCTCAGGGCGTGATTCTGGGGTCCTGGTATCGAGTCCCGCATTGGGATCCCAGCATGGAGCCTGCTTCTCCCTCTGCCTGTGTCTCTGCCTCTCTCTCTGTCTCTCATGAATAAATAAATAAATAATCTTAAAAAGATAAAGGAAGAAACAACATAGAACTTTTCATATTTGAGATGGAGTCATTTGTGCTGAGATAGGAATGATCTTTCAAAATACATTGTTTAGGGATCCCTGGGTGGCGCAGCGGTTTGGAGCCTGCCTTTGGCCCAGGGCGCGATCCTGGAGACCCGGGATCGAATCCCACGTCAGGCTCCCGGTGCATGGAGCCTGCTTCTCCCTCTGCCTGTGTCTCTGCCTCTCTCTCTCTCTCTGACTGTCATAAATAATAAATAAAAAATTAAAAAAAATACATTGTTTAGTAAAAAACTAAAGTCAATGTCCAAAGAAATGAGTAGTATTTTCTCATTATGTAATAAATCAAGGAACTATATAGGTGCATTTCTGTGCATAGGAAATTCTATCTTTGCAAGGATAGCCCATTGCCTTATAGGGAGGAAATTGAGGGGTTCAAATTCAGGCATAGGAGAAAGATTAATTTTTCACTGTCTCCTTTTGTATTGTTTTAATATGAACTGTGATTGGAATAGAAAAAGCAGTTTAAAGACTTTTTTTTTTAGCTCAAGCTTTGCTGGATTTATAATCTGACTCTAGTCGCGTGTTCTGTGAATTGGGTACTGATAAAAGATTGCAGAAAGAGACTGGATGGTTAAATCTTGAGGCCTCGGGGTCTAGGGGACAGGGTCATTAAACCCACACTTGGCCACCCACTGGCTGTGTGACCTCAGGTAGGTAGCTCTACTTCTCTGAGCCTCTACTTTTAACACCTGTGAATTAGAGGATTATGCAGTAAAGGATTAATTTTGCCCAGTTCCTGGGAGGTAACCTCTTGGAATATCTTGCTTGGCAAGAGTGTTTTTGTTTACCTGTGGACATGCAGCGTCAGCTTGACCTTGGGAGGAGCTGGAGGCTACAGTCAGTCATATGGGGCAAGAGCCATGACTATGTGACTGGTTCTCCAATAAAGAGCCTGGACACCAAGGCTCATGTGAGGGTCCTTGGCTGCAGTACTCCAGGTGTGTCGTCATGCATTGGGGCTGGGATCATTGAGTGCTGTTTGCTTGGTGACACTGGGAGAGAGCAACGGGAAGCTTGTGTCTGGGGCCCCTTGGATCCCACAAGTCTCTTCCCTTTGCCATTTTTAATCTGTGTCCTTTCCCTGTAATAAACCATGACTGTGAGTAATCAGCTCTTTTGAGTTCTGTGGGTCCTTTTAGTGAATCACTGAACCTGAGGGGGCTTGGGGGATCCCCCAACACAGGAGTAATGAACAGTGTACTTCACTGGGGACGCAGGCATCATGAGATCGTGTGCACACAGCACCTTAGGATCACAGCCAGTACTTACTGAGCACATACACAGTATGTGTGAGCACACGAACGCACCGGATCCTCGTAACAGCCCCATGAGACTGATACTATGATTAATGTTTCACCTTTATTTTATCTTGAAATGTACTGTACATTCAGGAGTAGAAAACGTAGATGTATGGCAGTAAAAAAAAATACTTAGAATGTGAACAACAGTGAATCATCAGGTTAAGAAGAAAGGACAGGGAAGCCCCCAAAGAGCCCTGACCCAGTTACAGCTCCTCTCATCGCCTGAGGTGACCACCTCTCTGACTTTGGTGATAGTCATTTCTTTTTTTGTCTTTTCTTTATGGTTGGGCCACGCATGTACATATTCCTAACATTTTTGGATCTAGGTTGTTTCATTTTTCCCTGCTCTCAAGAGTAGTGAACACAATAACGCAGCTTGTGCTGTTTGGTGTTTTGTTCACTTCGTTCACTCACCGCTATGCACGTGAGGTTGCCCCACGTGGTTGTATGCCCCAGGACTCTCCTCTTTTTCACTGCTGTATAGTATTCCACGCACCATTCCACTGTAGACCACGCTGCATCTAATCTGTTCTCTGGTTGGTGGAGGTTTGGGTGGCTTGTGGCCATCCCACACCGTGCGGCTATGAACATTCCTTCCTCTCCATGTTCCCGGATGGCCGTGTTCCAGTTCTCAAAGATGCACGCTCAGCCTGGAACAGTCGGGTTACAGGTTCCGCGCACTTTCAAATTTATTCAGTAGCACTGCCATCTTTCCCGTTCGAAGATGAAGCAATGGCAACAGCGAAGTTAAGTAACTTCGCCAAGATCAGGAAACCAAATTGCCTTGAGCCCAGCGATCCTTGCTCCAGAGCACCCCACTGCTACGTGGTGGGCAGCTAAGAATTGTTGGGGGCTATGACTGGGAGTTTCATTTCCTGACCCCATTAGTCTGAACTCTGTCCTCATCAGTTAATAATTAACTGACCCCCAAGGAGCCCACAATCCTAAAAGATTTGCCTTGCCCCAGCTATTGCCGGGTTAATCAATCACTGGCCCTGGCCGGGCAAGGGGCACTTGGTAGACCTCCCGCCCCCAGAGCCCCTTTACTCGCCGCAGAAGTGGCCAGGGATTCACGATGCTTCGGACCTGTCGTGTGCTCCGTTCCCAGGCTGGATCCCCCACTGGGGGCTGGCAGCCCCTGAGCTTTGATGGGGGTGCTTTTCATCTCAAAGGCACAGGAGAACTGACACGAGCTTTGCTGGTGCTACGGCTGTGCGCCTGGCCCCCTCTGGTCACACACGGCCTGGTGGTGAGCGGTGCCCCCGGGGATCGGCCTCGGGCATCCCCGAGGCTTGGCCTCTGAGCCCTCGCTCTCTGTCCCTCCAGCTCCAGGCCTGGTCTCAGCGACTCCTGGGCTCCCGGCTCTCGGGAGCGTTTCTCCGAGCATCCTTCTACGGGCAGTTTGTGGCTGGTGAGACAGCAGAGGAGGTGAAGGGCTGCGTCCAACAGCTCCAGACCCTAGGCCTTCGACCCCTGCTGGCGGTACCCATCGAAGAGGAGCCAGACTCAGCTGTCAAGGCTGGGTGAGTAGGGGCCGGGCCCGGGGGGGCGGGGAGGCTGGCAGGAGCGGGGCAGGTGGGCTCCGGAAGCTAATGCCTGCTGGCTGGGCAGCGAGGCGTGGTATGAGGGGAACCTCAGTGCTATGCTTCGGTGCGTGGACATGTCACGAGGCGTCCTGGAGACCCCCAGCCCGACTGGGAACATCCTTATGCAGCTGAAGATGACGGCGCTGACCAGTACTCAGCTCTGTGTAAGGGACGGGCAGGATGGGGAGGGAGGCTACAGCTGCCCACCAGGTCCCCCTCACCCCTCCACCCACCGCCCCATTCCAGAAGGAGCTAACCTCCTGGATCAGAAAACCGGGGGCTTCCTTGGAGCTGAGCCCCGAGAGGCTGGCAGAAGCCATGGACTCTGGGCAGGTAAGGAGCCCAGGCTGGCTGGATGGTTGGTGGGGACTGTGGGGCGGGAGCAGAGTCCTCTGTACTAGGATGTAGCAGCCACCTGCAAGCGGCGTGTCTGAACCATGCAACTACTGCTACTTCCCAGCCTTAGAACAATCGGAATAAACGTGGCTATAGCCCGGGCCGTGGTTGGCATGGACGGAATATATGGGCCATCTGGGGGACCTAGGCGAGGGGGCTGCAGGCTGGGAGTTCTCAGAGGCGGGGGTGAGAGAGTAGCTCTTCCCCAACTAGAAGAAACTAATCAGTATTTGGTCAATCAACTCAGCTATGACCGGAAGTTATGATTAGGCCAGTGGGGTTTTGGTTTAATCATTCATTCATTCATTCATTCATTCATTCATTTCATTTCCATTTACTATTTCTACCTTCCTTGCCATTGACACCCCCTTTACCCTGCATAACGTATATCTCTTTGTTATTGTAAATTTGTTTTGGCAAGTACAGGGGGACATATTTCCCCAACATTTTATTATGAAAACCTTCAAACGTACGGAAAAGTCGAGAGAATCTTACAGTAAACACCCATATACCAGCCACTGTTAACATTTAACTTTACCTGCTTGGAATCATATCAGTCCCTCCATCCATTCTTCCGTTTGTCCACCGATCCATTTTATTTTTCAATGCATTTCAAAATAAGTTGCAGGCATCAGCACAGGGCCCTCCGAATGTTTCGGGATACATATCACCAATTCGGGCTTGATAATTATTTATAGTATTTTATTTCTTTCGAGGAAAAATGTATATATGGTGAAATATGCAGATTGTAAATGTATCTATTGGTGATTGTATCTATTTGTGGATTTGACAAATATACACACCTGAGCAATTCGAGTCTATCAAGACACAGAAGATTTTCATCACTGCAGAAAGTTCTGGCATGATCCTCCCCATCAACCTGAGGGTGTAATTTTAGATGTACACAAATAGTATTGTTGCCTCTTTCCACTTTTCACTTTTTCCACTGAGCACTCTGATTTTAAGATCCGTCCAACAGTCTTTGTGTGCATCTAATCCGTGGCCTCTACCTGCTGCTCCTCGCCACGCAGCTCACGTCTCCCAGGATGGACACGGCGAGGGCGCCTCTGAGTCTCCACCACCACAAACAATGCTGTGGGCGATGTGGTGTTTCTTTCACATTTTAAAAAAATTGGCATTTTGAAAAAAGTGTCACAGGACACATAGAAGCAGGACTCGGGTGTCTCAGAGGATCAGCTCTGGAGTATCACAGACAGTGGGAGCAACTTCTTCCCAGGGCGGTTTTAAGGATTAAAGCCCCTGCTTGGCTGGCATCCGATCCCCCGAGGAACAGAGGGGCCTTCCTCGGCCTCTCGTCACATGCTTTCCTTGGTGTCCCTAATACCTGGTTTTCCTTTTCCATCTCAGCCAGCTGGTTCTCAAACCATGTTAGGTTCTTCTCTGCCAGTCTCTTCAATACGGAGGCTCCCCCCTCCTCACTCCTTCCTCCCCTCCATGGGGCCTTCTTCACCCACGCTGCAGCCTCAGTTTCTCCCCTGGGTACTAATGAGGCCCACATCTGTCTCCAGCCCCAGCCTCTCCCCTGAGCCCCTGGACATCCTCCAGACCACCCACACCTACCAGGTCCCACCCTGGCTTCCGTGTCTCCCCAGACCCGCTCCCCTTCTTGTCCCCATCTCAGTGACAGCCCCCAATCCCTTGTCTCAGTCCTTGGCTCAGAGGGAGGTGAAGACCGAGTGAGTTATTTATTTTTTATTTTTTTAATTTTTTCTGAGAGAGTTAAATATTAGGTGAGGTACCCCAAATAGCACCGGGCACCCAGTAGGCCCTGTCTGAGGGTGGCCATCATATGCAGGCAGTTTCACCAGCTACTAACTCCCCAGGACTCCTCCAAGACTCTGCGCCCCCAGCCAGGGGAAGACAATTCTCTGTCTGAGGAAAAGGTAACTGGGCAGGTGCCTCCTTCTGGAAGGTTTTCTCCACTAAGCCAAGGGTGGGGTGGTGTTTGCCACCTTCTCACGGCCTGATCCCGGGGGCCTCCCATTAGCAGACCCAGCCTCCCCCCCAGTCCCCCCAGTCTCCATCTGGACTCTGTTGGATCTGGGTAGAACTAAGTCCCACCTGCTCCTCCTTCTTTAGTTTCCTAATTTCTTTGAAGCCAGCTGACTCCTTGAGTGGCCAGCAGTTCACATCCACCCTTAGAATCTCCACAACAAGAACAAGAGTTGGGGGACAACGATTATTTCCACCGTGTTCCTCCAGGGCTGGAGGAAAAGATGACGGAGACGAACTCCTAGTCCCTGAGGCACTTACTTGCTAGTCGGGGAGAGGCAAGACCAAAAAGCCAAGACATAGCAAGTATAAACAGGCGTTGCAGGGGGGAAAACAAGGCTAGGGAAGGAGAAGGCAAGAGCCCCAGACAGGGAGTTGCAAATCTGAGCCACGGAAAACCTCGCTGAGAAGATGACAGTGAGAAAAACACCTGGAGGAGAGGCAGGAGTGAGGCAAATGGACATGAAGGGGAAGAGTGTTCCAGGCAGGAGCAGCCAAGCAAAGGAGCAGCCCTGAGGCTGGAAGGTGCTGGACATGTTGAAGGACTGGCAGGGAGGCCAGCGTGGCTGGAGGGCAGGGGGCTCCGGAGAGCCGAGGAGATGAGAGCAGAGGGGCCCGATGGGGGGAGCCTCGTGAGCTGCAATGAGGCTCTGGCCTTAGAGGAAGGTATTGAGGTCCTAAGACACCCAATAGCAGGTGACACTTGTGGCACCCACTATGAGCTAGCCCCTGCTCACTTCCTACGTGTTAATTCCTAGTCTTCACTCATGGAGCATTAGTCTCCTCGCTGCAGAACGGGGTTTGGAGTAACTGTCCACCAGGATCATTGTGAAGATTATATATACGAAGTGGCTTATTATCATCACGACAACAGCATGTTTTGAATGCTTATCACGTGCTCGCCCTGCCCCATTCTTACGTCCAGGCACGGCTTACAGGTCCACACAGCAACTCCACGAGGTAGATGCCATTATCAACTAATTGTTGAAAGAAAGAGACAAAACTTGAGGCCCAGAGAGATTATATGACTTGTCCAAGGCCACACAGTAAGGGATGGAGTCAGGATTCAAACCCAGATCCGGGGCTCTAAACCATTTATTCAGGTGAATAAATGGTTATTATTCACCTGAATAAATGGTTTCTTTGTGATACGGTTACTTTTCATATTGCTTACAATTTCTCAACTTTTTTCCCTTCTTGGTGGTGGGGGAGAGGAGACATAGGCCCTGGAAGGATCCAGTAACCTGAGCCATTCCCACCTCCCCTGCTGCTCCCCCAGGACCTCCAGATCTCCTGCCTCAACGCCCAGCAAAACCACCATCTCCAGGCCTCTCTGAGCCGCTTGCACCGGGTAGTACAGGTAACACCTGCCACGGCCTGGCTCCGCCGCACCTGCTGGGCACCCCGAGGCCTGACCTCTGACCCTCTGACCCTCAGCATGCCCGGGCCCAGCGTGTGAGGATCCTGGTGGATGCCGAGTACACCTTCCTGAACCCTGCTCTCTGTCTGCTGGTGGACGCCCTGGCCCTGCGCTGGAACGGCCCCGGGGAGGGCGGGCCCTGGGTGTGGAACACTTACCAGGCCTATCTGAAGGTGTGTGGTGCACCGTGGGGGACTGCGGGCCGGCGCCCCGGGGCCCTGACCCCAAGCTGCCGGGGTGCTTCGCCAGGACACACACGAGCGGCTGAGGAGGGCCGCGGAGGCCGCTGACAGGGCTGGCCGGGCCTTTGGAGTCAAGTTGGTCCGAGGGGCGTATCTGGACAAGGAGAGAGAGGTGGCTCGGCACCAAGGGACCGAAGACCCCATTCAGCCCAACTATGAGGCTACCAATCAGAGGTAGGACTAGGCCAGCCAGGCCTCTGAGATAAATCATAACATCTAACCCTTCATCACGCCACACATCCCATGTGTGTGCACCATCATTTCCTCTCCCTGGGCCAGGACCTCATCACTTCCCACTTGCACAGCAGCCTCCTCCTAGGGCTCCCTGCTCCCTCCTTTGTCCACCCCTCACCCCCATCCCAGTCTGTTCCCCCATAGGCAGCCAGAGGGAGCCTGTTAATAAGTCAAATCCTGTCCCTCTCAGCTCAAAACCCTTCCATCGCTCCCACTGCACCTCAGTAAAACCCCAAATCCTTCCAGCAGCTCCCAGGCCCCATGTGCTGTGATCTCCTCACCTCAGACTCTGCTTCTCACTCACTGCACTCCAGCCACACTGGCCTCCTTGATGATCCCCAGGGCCTTTGCACTTCCTGTTTCCACCGCCTAGAACATTCTCCCTCCAGACAGCTGCATGGCTCACTCTCTCATCTCCTTAGGTCTCTACTTATTGGTATGTCCTCGGGGGACCTTCCCTGCCCTCCCTGTCAAAAATTAGAACACCCACACCTACTCTCTTCCTGAATTTATTTTTCTCTTTAGCACTTGTCGGTGTCTGAGGTTCTATACACTTTCGTATTCAATTGCACATTGTCTGTCTCCCCCTCCAGAATGCGGGCCCCCAGGAGGACAGGGGTTTCTGATTTGTTGAGCACCCAGGGCTTGGAACTGAGCCTGCTACAGGGCGGGTGCTCAGTACAGATCTGTTGAATACGTAAACGACCCCCAAGCAGTAGGTACTGTTATCTCACACGCACGCGCACACACACACTCCATTTCTCAGAAGGAACCCAGGCACAGAGAGGTGGAATCGCTTACCCAAGGTCACATAGCTAGTAAGTGGCAGGGCCAAGTTTTGCACCCAGCAGACTGGCTCTAGAACCTGAACTCTCATCCACCTCAAATCACTCTGTGTGGGGAGCAAAATATGGGTGAGCCCCTGGGGCCCCCATCCCATGGCCCTGGGAGGAAGGAAACTGTTCCTTTACTTTCTGATCACCTGACTTAGATCAGGACCTGTGCTGGCCCCTGGCCCCAGTAGCAACCAAGGTGGTCCCCAGGCCTTGTCCTCGTAGAGCTTACAAAATCTGCCTCCTTTCACACTGGATCCAGGAGAAGTATGTAGAGTTACAGAGACTGACCCAAGCTCACAGGGCAAGTGGCCACATCACGGCCGGAACCTAGGCTTGCATCCAAGGACCATGGGGGCTTTTATGTACATTTGTATCCCACAGTCTTAATCACCGGGACCATTATTATTCTTTTTACTGAGATATAATCCATTATTATTTTTTACTGAGATATGACCCATAAAATCCACCCTTTCAAAGTATACGATTCAGTGGATTTTAGCATATTCACAATGTTGTGCAACCATCACCACTAATTCCAGAACATTCCATCAACCCCCAAAAGAAACCCCATGTCCTTAGCAGTCCCTTCCCATGCTCCTCCCCTCAGGCCCCGGCACATTTTGTTTAGCCACTCATCAGCTGATGGATCGCTTCCAATTTTGGCTATTGTGACGAGTGCCGCCATGAACATTCGTGTGCACATTTTTCTATAAATACACATTTTCCAGTCTCTTGAAAGCTCAATTGTCTAGGAGTGGAATTGCTGGGTTGTATAGTAACCCCCTCTTTAACTTTTGAGGAATGGCCAGATGGTTTTCCAAAGCTGCTGCACCATTTTGCAAAATTCACATATTATATATTCTGAAGAAATAATAAATTTATGCCACTAAAAATCAAAGTGATATGGGGTGCTTGCTTGGGTGGCTCAATCGGTTGAGCGTCAGACTCTTGGTTTTGGCTCAGGTCATGATATCAGGGTTGTGAGATCGAGCTCCACATAGGGCTCTGTGCTGAACATGGAGCCTGCTTGGGATTCTCTCTTACCTCTCTCTCTGCCCATCTCCCCTGCCTGCTTGCACTTTCGAAAAATAATAATAATAAAATCAAAATGCTATGAAAATTAATACACTGGGGCACCTGGGTGGCTCCGTGGTTGAGCATCTGCCTTTGGCTCAGGGCGTGATCCCAAGGTCCTGGGATTGAGTCCCACATCAGGCTCCCCATGGGGAGCTTGCTTCTCCCTCTGCCTGTGTCTCTACTTCTCTCTCTGTGTGTGTGTCTCTCATGAATAAATAAATAAAATCTTGAAAAGAAAATGAATACACTGACATATCTCACTTCCACCCAAATCCCCATCTCATTTTGGAGTCTCCTTGCTCTTCACAGGTGACTACTTTTGTTAGTTTCTTACACATTTCCTAAGTTCCTTCATCCATAAACAGGTAAACACAGAGATTTCTGTGTGCAAAAGGCATCATGTCTACACACTGCCCCTTGCTTTTCCCTTCAGCTGCATAACTTATTTTTTCTTATTTTTTAAAATTTTATTTAATTATGAAACACACACACACACACACACATACACAGAGACACAGGCAGAGGGAGAAGCAGGCTCCATGCATGAAGCCTGATGTGGACTCGATCCTGGGACTCTGGGAACACAGCCTGAGCAGAAGGCAGACACTCAACCGGTGAGTCACCCAGGCGTCCCTAGCTGCATAATTTAAAGCCAGGATAAAAAACCCAGGCCCTGGAGCATCAGACAGCCTAGGTTCAAATCCCAGCCCAGTCACTTTTAGCTGTATGACCTGGGGAGAAGCTTCATTCAATCTTCCCCTGCGTAAAATGGGGATAACCAGGACATCGACATCATGGAGCTGACTTGAGAGTCAGATGAGTGTATGTGCGTCAGGCAGGACCCCAAGGGAGGGCAGCCCCGGTAGCTCAGCGGTTTAGCACTGCCTTCAGCCCAGGGCCTGATCCTGGAGACCCAGGATTGAGTCCCACATCGGGCTCCCTGCATGGAGCCTGCTTCTCCCTCTGCCTGTGTCTCTGCCTCTCTCATAAATAAATAAAATCTTTTTTTTTTTTAAAGGACCCCTAGGGAAAAAGAACTCTGAGCAAAGGAGTTTAACTAAGGGAAATGTAGTAAAATGCACTCTCCCTATTGAGTGTGGGGAAGGTTAAGGGAGCCACAAGGAAGATCAAGGAACCCCGGAACTCCTAAGAGCATGAAGCTGTAATGACCGCTGTTCCACAGCTGAGGAAGAGGGGCCACCCTAAGGAGGTGTCACCAAACACAGGGGACAGTCAGCGTAGGCCGGGGAGGGGGCTACGGGGTGAAATACCCCAAGCTTTCTCTCTCCCCACCTTCGGATCTCCTGCCGGTTATTCCATGGGTGACACAGCTTCCCAAGGGGCAGAGATGGGCAGATCTGGGAGGTGATGGAGAATAACCAGGGCGGCGTGTGGAGTCCTTAGCTGGGCACATGGCCTGAGGCCAGCTGGGAGCACATTCACCAATTTGCCTCCGTTTTTAGTGCCTGGCGCTGCACTCGCTCTTGTGCACCACCACGCATTTTAGCCAGTGCCCACTTACAGCTGGGGTTGCGCTACTGCCACTCCTGTTCAGTGGCCAACACTGCAGTGAATGACTGTAGGTAAATGTCACCTTGTGCCTGTGATGAGGCCCTTTGCTCTGAGGCTGCCATTGCATCAGGGGCTTCATGACACCCTCGTCTCACCCCATCTGCAATAGCCCTGTTAGGGGACCTTAATCCTTATAAGGGAGGTAAAAGGCCCAGTGAAGGGCCATCCTTTGTAGCAGGGGCAGGTGAAACGGGGGGGGGGGGACTTTCTGGCTCCAGAGTACTTGCCCTTGGGCACCCCACCTCCCAAGGACAGGGCTCCCTAGCCCCTGGGGCCTGACCCTTCATCACCGGAAGCCATAAGCTGAACAGAACACTTCCCTTCAGTTACAGCCGTTGTCTGGAGCTGATGCTGACTCAAGTGTCCCACCGGGGCCCCATGTGCCACCTCATGGTGGCTTCCCACAATGAGGAATCTGTTCACCATGCCACCAAGCGGTATGTAGGGGAATGGGAACTAGATATCCACAAGAAGGCCCCCTTCCTTCTTCTTCCTTGCTCACATGCCAGGGATTAGCAAAGGGTGGTGGACATGGAATAGGGGGAGGAAAGCGATGGGCCAGTAGGTTCACAGGGATTCTGGGGAAGGCCAGTTGCAATATCTAACCCTTGTAGGCCAAACCTGTAGACCCTGTAGGCCCCAGCTAAATGAGACATTTGTCCTTATTTGCTGGGGCCTAGGGAGGCCTGAAGGCTCCAGAGAAGGAGCTGATACCCACTGGGGAGATTTCAGGGGCCTGAGAACAGTGGTTATTTATCACTAAGTTTAGAAGAACTTCAAAATTTTAATAACTGCAACAGCCATATGAGTGCATGATGGCTGACTTCCAGCTCTGGATCCAGCCGCTGTCTGGATTGATGATGTGGCCTTTTCTATAGCATGTGGGACCTGGGCATTCCTCTGGATGGGCCTGTCTGTTTTGGACAACTTCTAGGGATGTGTGACCACGTCTCCTTGGCATTGGGTATGTGAACGATCCATTCTCCCCATGTCCCACCACCATGCTCCATCAGCATGTGCGCCCCCCCTGCCCTAGGCCTCATCCCCATCCCCCCAGCCGGACCCCTTTCCCCACTCCCAACCAGTGCCTGACCAGGCTCCCATCCAGAGCCTGCAGCCGGCCCAGCCACCAGACTCTTCCAGAGAGATTTGTTGTTCCCATATCTGAAGGCCTTGCACGCCTGTCTCTGAGCCTGCTGTCTGTTGTTTTGGCTGGTTCTTGATCATGGTGTCTTGTTTCCCCGGTGCCTTATTATCTTTGCTGTGCAGCTGCCCGGGGTCTGAGACCAGAAGATTTGTGTTTTCTTCTGCCAGGTGCTAAGGGGTACAGAACCACTTTACCCTAAATTCAGGGCTTGAGGTTTCCTGAGGCATCTCACTGATGCAAATTTGAGCTACAAATATATGAGGCTAATCCACGGCCTCGATCCCTCAGAGATGGGTTTCTGTTTTCTTCTCTGTTCCACTTATGGCCAAGGCCACAATTCTCTGTGAGTGGGGGTTGATTTCTGGTGAACTCTGATGCTGAGGGTGCAGCTTAATTTGAGCAGGTGCTCCATTACAACTCTCACCCTGGTCAGGCTCTGGGCCTCGATTTCGGCACCCCCTCAACTCTGAGGTCAACAAGTAGCTCGATTTTGCCTTCAGGGTGGAAGTGCTTCCTGTACATTCTTCCCTCTTTGGGTTCTCAGTTTCTCTTAATGCTCAGGTTAGTAAATTCCTTACTCTTTTGGTAGGATTTTAATAACTTTAGGAAGATTTTCTAAATGTTTACTGCAGGATTTTAAGTTTTTTCAGTGGGAGATTTTGTCCAACTCACCTAGACTGCCAGGTTCTGAGAGATGGAAGTCTCTGTTCCAGATGGGCCTCCCCCTGAACAGGAGGAGTTCACGCCCTGCCAACACTCTCCCCACAGGGCAGGCCGGCTATGCCGTGTATAAGTCCATCCCTTATGGTTCCCTGGAGGAGGTGATCCCCTACCTGATCCGGAGGGCCCAGGAGAACCGGAGCGTGCTGCAGGGTGCCCGCAAGGAACAGACACTGCTCAGCCAAGAACTCAAGCGGAGACTGCTGAGACGGGGCCTGAGGGCACCCCATTAGCATCCCCAAGGGTCATGTGGTTAATAAAGATCCTGAGCTATTGCCCAGGCTGCTGCCCTGCACAGAAGCTGCCTCCTTGGGGAAAGGCTATTCTCTCTCTCTCTCTCTCTTTAAGATTTATTTATTTGAGAGAGAGAGCATGAGTTTTTGGGAGGAGCAGAGAGAGAGGGAGAACCAGACTCTACTGAGCAGGGAGCCCTATGTGAGGCTCTATCTGGGGACTCTGGGTTATGACCTGAGCCAAAGGCAGATACTTAACCAACCAAGCCACCCAGGTGCCCCATGGGAAGGGCAGCTCTAGAGAGACTGCTAGCTGACCCCAGAGCACAGCAAGGGTATCGATCACAGGCAGGCCAGACAATGGCACCTTTGGTGCCAGACTTCAGGGCTTGGACTCTGCCCCAAGGGCCGTGCGGAGTCAGGAGGGTTTCACGTAAGGGAGGGACAGGGTTTGGCTTTAGAAAAAGTCCCCCGGCTACCATGCAGTGGGTGTCCCAGAGCAGGGCGACAGGCTGGGAGCCCAAGGGAAGCTGGACTAAGAAACCCCCGCTGGCAGCTGGAGCAGGGCGGGGCTGTATCAACCGGAGGGGGGCTGGTGGGGAGGACCAGCTGGAGGCTGAGAGGCTGGATGGGAGGGAGGCATTGAGGGCGAGGCCCAGGGCTCTGGCTGGAAGAGGGGGGACCCTGAGATGGGGATGGGGGAGGAAATGTAATTTGGGGGAGATGCTCCTAGTGCGGGAGCCGGTGGATGGGAGGGTCCCAGGGGACTTCCAGGGGGAGCTGTCGAGGACACTGCGGGGCCCCAGGCTCAGGGCAGAGAGACGAGGCTGGGGCAGGGAAAGAAGGGACAGTCCGTGGGGGGGGGTGAGAAGCGTGGGAAGAAGACCGCGGAGGAGGGAGGGCCCAGCACCTCGAGCCCCCGGAAGGCGTAAGAGGCGTTCCAGGTGCAGCAGAGCCCACAGCTCTGGGGGGGCCATCGCCTCGGGTTCTCTCGCAGCGCCTCGAGGCTGGGGGGGCGCCTCTCAGGGGAAGCGGCTACTGCGCAAGCGCAGATGTGGCAAGAAGCCACTGGTGCGCATGCGCCTGTGGTGCCCGAGCCGGAGTGCCTGGGTCACGTGGCAGGCACGTGCTGAGTGCTGCGGGGAGCCCAACGGTAGGTGCGCAGACCCCGGGCTGGGGCCTAGGCCCCTGACCCTCCTGGACTTACCGCCCTCCGGCTAGACCCCGCCCCCAGGCTGCTGCCCCCGCAGCCTGAGTCCCCCTCCTACCCCCTCCTCTAGGCCGCAGACCCCACCCCGCACCCAGACGCTTGCCTGAACCGCAGTCCGAGTCCCCAACCCTGAGACCCTCCCCGAGCCTGCAGAGCCTGCCTCAGGGCCTTTGCACCAGCGCCAGCCCTCGGACTAGGACCATCCTCCTCCCTAACACCGCCCCGCCCAGCCTGGAGACCCCCGTCCTCTCCGTCCCAACCCTCAGGCCCTTCTTCCGCCAGACTCCTTCCCTGAACCCCTAGACTCCTTTCCTCCTTATCCCTGGAGCCCTTACAGCTCCTCCGCGCAGACAGAATGCCGCCCTCAGACTCCCTGAACCAGGGCCTGGCCCCAGGCCCGCCGCTCTCCCAGACCCCACCCCTTTTCTCATCCTACACCTGACAGCAAAGCAGACCCCTCCCGAGGCCCCTGCCTTCTCACGGGCCCTCCAGGGTCCCCAGAGGTCCTGCCTTCGCTCTCTCCTGCCCGCATGAGACCCCGTAGGTGATCCCTGCCCGGGAGCTGACCGTCCGGAGCCCACAGATGCCCTCCCTGCGCTCCCGCTTCCCGGTGGAGCTGGGCTCTGTTAGGGATCCAGAAGCCCAGGTGGGACGACTGCACCGCCTGGCTGTGGCCGGGGGCCCAGGCTGGGGCCTGGCCCGGCTCCTGCGGAGAGGTGAGGGTTCCTGCTGCGGCCGCGTGGGGGGGCCAGGCCAAGAGGCAGCTCGGAAGCTGTGGCTTCAGCGGGTCAGACGTTGTGCGCGGGGGCCCTACTGTGTGCCAGCCTCTGTCGTCTATGCTGGGGATTTGGGGATGACCTTCGGGTCACTGGGAACGAAGTCTATCATGAGAATTTAAGAGAGTGAGGAGGATGAAGTAGATACACGGAAAGGGTGGCTTTGGGGATGGGTGCTACTTGGGCCCCACAGTAAAAGAGCCGTGGAGGGTGGGGGAAACACTTCAGAAAAATGGAATAGCCACTGCAAAGGACTTGAAGTCAGAACAAGCTTTTTTTTTTTTTTTTTACTTATTTATAAGAGACACACAGAGAGAGGCAGAGAGACACAACACAAGCAGGCTCCCTGCGAGGAGCCCAACTTGGGACTCGATCCCCGGTCTCCAGGATCACACCCCGAGCTGAAGGTGGCGCTAAACCGCTGAGCCACCCCGGGCGACCCTAGAACAAACTTTAAGCAGCAGCAGGGAGACTCTGGGAGAGGGCTGAAGCTCAGAGGCGCAAGCAGCAGGCAGGAAGTGTGTGAATTCTGCGAGGTTTTGCCCCGTGTGTGATGGGAAGCCATTGGAGTTGTGGGCAGGAAATTAACATCTAATTTACAATTTCCATTTTTCATTGATTTTTGCAAGTCGATTGGGGTTCTGGCCACTTTCTGAACTTAATTAATAGTTGTAATTTTTGATTCTTTGACATTTTTTATTACCTAAAGATGGTGACAATTTGATCTCAGCCCTTTAAACTCTAATTCTTTTTTTTTTCTCCCTTGTGTAAAGTGTTGGCCAGAACTCCCAAACCTTGTTGTCCATGGACATCTCTTTCCGTGTTCTTGATATCAAAGGGAATTAATCTGTACTTCTGCATTAAGTATCATGGGTGCTCTTCGGGTTTTGGTATGTAATTGTTACAAAGGGAGGGAGTTCCCATCTACTCTTAGTTTTTTGAGGTATTTGCTCCCCTCAATCATAAGTAAATATTGAATTTTATTTTTATTTATTTAATTTAGTGATTCATTACTTACATATACCACCCAGTGCTCATCATAACTAGTGCCCCCCAGTTAGCCCACCCCCCACCCATCTCCCTCCATTAGCCCTCGGTTTGCTCTCTATCCTTGAGAGTCTCTAATGGAAGTTCTGGATTTTATCAGGTGCTTTTTCTATATCTACTGAGCTGAATGTGATTTTTATTTATTTTTATATTTTTTAAGATTTATTTATTTATGATATATATATATATATATATATATATATATATATATATATATAGAGAGAGAGAGAGAGAGAGAGAGAGAGAGGCAGAGACACAGGAGAGAGAGAAGCAGGCTCCACGCCAGGAGCCCGACGCAGGACTCGATCCTGGGACTCCAGAATCGCACCCTGGGCCAAAGGCAGGAGCTAAACCGCTGAGCCACCCAGGGATCCCCTGATTTTTACTTTTTGATCCATGGATGTGTTTTCCTACATTGATTGATTTTCTTATGTTGAATCATCCTTGATTTCTCTGAATAAATCAATTGGATAATCCCTTTTACTTTATTTACAGGTTTAGCGTATACAGTCAAACATGAAATTGAAATATAAGTTCATTTTTGGTTCTGGAAACTTAACTGGTTTTGGAATTAGGGTCATACTAGCCTCAGGAGACTTGCCCCCCCCTTATTTTTGGAACAACTTGTATAAGATTATCTACACAAAAAATGAAATGATTATCATTGTAATGATTATATCACGCAGTGATTTGTGTTTTAAGAAGACCCTTCTGCAGGGCAAGACAAATACAGAAAACCAGTTAGCATGCCATGGCAAAAGACCGTGGGCTTCCAAGTAAAAAAGAATGCAGTAAATGTGATATTCAGATGTTCCTAAAGGACCTCATTTGGAGGGATTTTATGACAGAGACTGTCATAAAGCTGGGTTGGGCCAAGCGCATGATTGATTTTTGCCATATCTGCCTAGGACATAGGAGTGCAAGGACAAAGACACCACGCATTTGCCCTCGGTAGGGATGTGGGCAAGGGCCTACAGGAAGAACGGGGATGACAGGTGCAGAGGGGAGGGGCTGGGGGAGGACCTGAGCAGAATGATCCCGGAAGGGATTGGTATAGGTGAGGTGGAGAGAAAGTTGCTACTTGGATTCAGCTCTTTCATTCATTCATGCATTTATTTATTTATTTATTTATTTATTTATTTATTTATTTATTTATTTATTTATTATTTATTTTTTGGATTCAGCTCTTAGAAGCAGCATTCAGAAATAACCGTGAGAGATTTCCTGATAAAATCCAAAGATTTTGCTTTCCTTGAAGAACTAGGTGCTGGCCGCACGGGGCCTGTACACGTATACTGAATGCACACACGGAGTACCTGGACTGTTCCCGAGGCTCCTGTAGGCCGGGGTCCCTGAGGAGTCCACTTGCCCCCAGCTCCTGGGTACCTTTGTGTGATTTTGACACTTCTGGGATGGCAGATGGGTGTCGGCTTGGCAAGTGGATGTCACCTCTCGTTGCAGCTCTGTGGACCTATTAACAGCGAGCACTGTGTTGAGACAGATTCTGAGCAGAGTCCCTGACGGTTGGAGGGTGGGGGTTCCAGAACATACAGATAGAACCTGGAGTTGAGGGTCACCCAGGCAACGAGGGACTGCGGGGACTGGGAATTGGCAGAGGTGTGGCATAGCAGCTCCAGGACCTCTGCCTCTGGAGACAGTCCTAAGCCCTGCTGCCCCTCAGTCGTCCAGGTGGATGGTGAGAACTCTGCTGGGCAGACCGGGCTCTTCCTTTCGGCGCTGCTGGGCCACAGCTCTGCCGTGCAGCTCTTGCTGTCCTTTGGCGCCAACCCCAACCAGTGAGTGGACCGATGGCGGTGCCCCCGCGCTCCCAGGGGTCTGAGTCTGAGCCCGAGAGAGCCAGGGCTTTCTTCCCCAGTGGGGGACCTCATGACACCCTTCCGCCCCCAGTGAGCTCCCCTTTGTTCTCTAGATTAACCCCTTGCCCTCCAGTGACTGTTCCCGTTCCCCTGGCACCTCCTGTGCTCACCGGACACCCTCACCAAAGACCCCACCGTGTCCCCAGGTGACCCCTCCTGTTCCAGTGGCCGCTTCCCGTGCTCACTCTGACTCCTCTCATGCCTCCATGCTCCCGTCCTGCCACCTCTTGTCCCCATTCCGCCCCTCTCCTAATCCATCTCTGTCCTCCCTGTTCCGCTGCAGTCGCTGCCTCGATGGCAGCACCCCTGTGCACGCGGGCGCCTTCTCGGGCTGCAGCCTGGTGATGCTGCACCTGCTGCAGGCAGGGGGTGACCTGCGTCTACATGACCGGCAGGGCCGCACGCCTCGGGACTGGGCAGAGCAGGGTGGTGCCAAGGAGAGCCGGAAGGTGCGTGGTGGCCAAGGGCAGGTGGGGGCGTATGGAGCCGGCACCCCCACTTGCCTCAGTGCACAGGTCCCCCACCCAGGTGCTGGAACTGCTAGAGCTATGTCGAGCCCACGTCTCTGTGCTCGTGCACGGCGGCCAGCTGGCGGCCAGTGCATCCCTGGGCCCGTGGCAGGCTGGTTCTGGACGCAGCCCGCGTGGCTCCCTGTCCTTGCTGCGGCGGGTGCGCGTGGACAGGTAACTACCCACATCCTGGAGCCCACTCACCCGCCCCGCCCCAGGCGCCCAGGACTTAGCCCTGGACCTCCCTTTGCCCCAGGGTACCGAGGCCAGAGCAGATCAGAAGATGCCCCCAAATCTCAGCCTTGGGGTTTGGCCAGGTAAGCGGGAGAGGTTGGGGGAGCAGGGAACCCCCCTGTCTGCTTTGTGCCTCATAGCCCCGCTCCCCATCCCCAGCTGAGCAGCCTTTGGCCACTGGGGCTGACAACAGGCATACCCCTCGCGGACCCCAAGGAGCTGCTGCCAGCCCAGGGCGAGCCCGACCGCACCTACGAGAGCAGCTCCCACACCCTCATGGCCAAGTGAGAGAGGGCCCCTCCCACCCCCCACCCCCCCACCCCCACCCCACCCCTGACCTAGCTGTCCAGCAGAGTTCTGGGAGGTGTCCAGCTCCCCTCCTCCCCTCGCAAGGAAGACACCCCCCCCCCCGCCCCACCCCATCTCAGACCCGTGCTCTTCCCCCCTCCCCATTCTCTAGCCTCCTGTGGAGGGGCCACCCCGTGACAGCTCGGCAGCTGAAGGCCCCGGGAACTCAGCCTGATGTCCTGTTGGCTGACCTTGAGCACTGCAGGTACAGGGGAACCCCCCATGCCCCCAGAGCAGGCGGGCCCAGCCCCACAGAGCAGTCTCCTGCCTGCCCTCCAGACAACGGAAAGCCTGGGAGCGTGGCAGTGGCCCCCGTTACCGTCTTCCCGGTGCGCCAGCTCCCGGAGTGCCCCCCCGACCCCCCACTGTACAGTGGTTCCGTCCCGTGTGCTGTGGGCCCCAGCCCAGGGAGAGGGGAGCGTGTGGGGAGGGGGCACAGGGGGGCAGGACCTGGGCGCTGGCCCCGTGAGCCAGGCCTCAGTCTCTCCTCGTCTGGTGGCTGGTGCAGATGGCGGTGATCGGGCCGGGGCAGCCCCCGCGGCGCAGGTTGGGGCCTCCCTGTGAGCGGCCTGCTCTCCTCCCGCCAGCGCCCTGCACCACCCCAACCTGCTGCTGCTGATGGCGCTGAGCCCCTCGGCGGACCTGTCGGGGCTGTGCTTGCTCTTCGAACCCGTGTGGCTGGGCTCCCTGCACGTGGTGCTGCACCCACGGGGGCCGAGCCAGGGGCGGCCGTGCGCCGTGCCGGGCCTGCTGCCTGGCCACCTGCTGCTGCAGGTGCTGGAGGCCCTGCTGTTCCTGCAGGCGCGCTGGCGGGCCCATGGCGGCCTTAGCTCCCACGCTGTGCAGCTGGTACGGCCGGGCCTGGCCAAGGTGGGCGGCCTCGAGCACGGGCGCTGGCTGCAGCCCGGGTGAGCGCCTGCCTTGCCCGCGGCCCCTCATCCCCGTGTGGCAGCCCCCCCCTCCCAGCTCACCAGGCCCCTCGGCCTCCTCCGCAGGCCACAGCAGGGCTACTCCCGGGAAGGCCCAGGCCCGGGGCTGCCCCCGCCTCCTGAACTGTACCCGTGGCTGCCACTTGAGCTCATCTGCGGTGACACGCCTGCGGCCACCTCGGATCTCTACAGCTTTTGTATCCTGGCCCAGGAGGTCTTCACTGGTCAGTGAGTGATCCTACCCCTGCCCCACTGAGCCAGCCCCTCCTGTTTGGGTCCCCCAATCGTGCTTCCTCACAGGAGAGCTGCCCTGGGCTGGGAGAGAGGGGCCTGAGGTGAAGGCTAAGTTGGAGGCAGGTGAGAGCCCGACCCTGGACCCCCTGGTGCCGGCCCCCTACCAGGCCCTGGTTCAGGCTGGGCTGGGCCTAGGGCCCGCTGACCGCTGGGGCAGCCTGCAGAACACTCGATACCTGCTGCGGGAGGCCATGGCCCAGGTACAGGACAGGTTGGCAGGGGTGGGTGGTAGCCATGGAACCTTAGGCAGGCCTCACGTTGCACACTCAGCCTCCTCTCCGCAGGACTCAGCTCCTGGGGTGAGCTCTCTGATGCACGGGACCACACGGTGCCCTGTGTCTCAGGGTTTCCTCCCAGGTTAGAGGGCACGGAGTGGGCGGTAGCGGGTGCTGAGCTCAGCTTTGCTCACCCCACTCCAACCAACTGGTCTGTGCCCCCCCAGAGACCCTGTACTGTGAGGTGGCTCCCAGAGCCAAGACCACACCCAAGCCTGTGCCCCCTGTGATGTCCCTAGGCCCCTCCCCATGCCAGGTAGGAGCCAGAGCAGGGCTATGGAGGACCAAGGGAGCTGTGGGGCACCTGGGCAACCTATGCCAGCTCCTGCCATTATCTCCGCAGGCCCTGAAGACTCCTGAGGTCTCAGGCCACTGCAGAGTCCAGAGGGCCACTGTCTGGGACTCAGGCAGCAGCTTGACTCTAGGCAGTGGCCCAAGTCCCTGTCCCATCCTCTACCCAGGCTCCAGCCCCACAGCCAGGGTCAGCCTGCACCGCTGCCTGGAGCCCAGCTCAACAGTATGAATACCCCAGGGCCCTGCACAGCCATCCCTTTGTTAACCTGGGACCCCTCCCCCTAGCTGTCACCAATCCCAACTTCCCTGGCTGCCTCTCCTTTGACTAGGGACCCCCAGGACTCCCTAACTGTCCTCTCACTGACCTGTGCCCCTTGACCAACCCGACTTCCCCCAGGGCCCTGCCCTTGCACTCCAGCCTTCAGGACTCAGCCTCCCTGCTGGGGACCCAGGGCTCTGTGGAGCAGTGTGAGAGGAACACAGCCAAGACCCCAGCCCTGCAGGGGCTACAGTGGCACACACACAGGGCTGCCCTGCTGGCCCCCCTGCCCTGTGAGCCCATCCCCCGCCTGCCCACCCACACCCTGGAGGCTGTTGGCAGGGAAGGCCACAAGGGTGGGTGAAGCAGAAGACCCCGAGCCCATCCCCTGTCCTGAGCTCCATGGCTACTGGGTGACAGCACCGTCCTTTTTTCCCCTGCAGGCCCCCAGTCCTGAGCTGATCACAGGAGGTCTCTTCTCCAGCCTGCAGAAGTAAGAAATGGGCCCTGCTGGGGGCCCCCTCCTGGGCCCATTCCTCATCCCTAAGGTCACCACGGCTCCACCCGTATCCCACTACTCCCCAGGATGGACCTGCTGGAAGAGATCTTAGCAGAGCTGCAAGGTGGACGCCAACTTGGAGACAAGCCCAGCCTCAACCCTGCTCTTGACACAGATTCTTAGAGTGCCCATGACTGCCTCTCTGCAGATACCACCCCCCTCAGAGCCTCCCAGGAGTGACTTCCCATTCAGCACTTGCTGAAATGATAAAGTGAAAAAGCAACCCATCTGTCTCGGCCTCTTTGTTCAGAGTCTGGCCCCAGCGTGACACTAGCAGCCATGTTTTCACTGTTTTTATTCATTAATTTTGTCAGATGGTTTAGTGGGGTATGGGGGGGTGGATGGACAGGAGCTGTTCCCCAACCCCCGTGCACAGGTCAGGATAAGCTGGGGGCTCTTGGAGGGGGAGGGAAGACCGTGTCAGCCTAGCCCTCAGACTTGTGCGAGAGCCCCCAGAATGGGAGGATGGTGGGGGGATGGGTGTGCCCTTCGGCCCAGGGTAGGGAAGCTATAACAGGTTAGGGACCCACATGAGAAACAAGTTACAAAGTTAGAAACCTGGGGTAGGGGTCAGGAGCTCAAGAAAATACAAAACAAGGGATTGACTGGGCCAAGATCAGTGAGAGGGAAGGGAAGGGAGGAAGATCTCTCCCAGCTGTGGCTCAGCAGTAGCTCCGGGTCTGACCCTCAGAGTGGAGGGACCAGCTGGGAGTGGGGTAGGGGGGTGGGGGGCCAGCCCCCTCCCTTCCTTGCCCCCCATTCCTGTACAAGGACCCTCGGTGGTGCTCACCCCCCCTCCCATAGGCTGGTGGGGCTGCCCTATACAGCAGGAGAGGCTCTGGAGGGCCCCAGGGTGCAGGCACCCTGTGAGGAGTGTGGGGGCCCCAGGGGGCCCGCTGTTTCTGGGGTAGGCGGGGGGCTGGGGGTCCAGGATCTGAACGGCTACGGGGGTGGGCAGGAGGGGAGGAGGAGCTGGAAGAGGCAGGTGAGGGACCCCTGGGCCCCAGAGCTAGGTTGACATAGAGGGGCTCAGGCCGGGTGGGGCGCCTGGCAGGATGCTGAGGGGCTGAGTAGCCAAGGTGGTCGTGGGGAAAGCAGGAGGGGGGCGGTGGGTAGCTGAGCAGGAAGTCGGGGGACCTGTGGAGTGGTGGTGACTGGCCAAGCAGACCATATGAGGCATTGAGCCGATCTGGGGGCATAGAGCGAAAGGGACTCCAGGACCTAGTGGGGCCAGAGTAGGGGGTTCCCTCACCCGCCTCGATTTCGTAGTACAGGTTCTCTCCCCTGTCAAGTGGTGCAGGGGGACCTAAGGGGCTCCTCCAGACTGGGGCTGGGGAGCTGGGTTGGAAGGATGGGGAACCCAGAGGGTACAAGCCTGGTTTGGGGACCCCAAGGAAGGGTGGCAGGCACTCCCGAGGGGCTGAAGAGAAGAACCCGGGAGTAGGAGCCTGTGAGGGGACAGAACAGGGGAGCTGAGCTGCCATCTCTGGCTCGTGCTCACGCCCCCTACACCCCCCTCTCCCAAGCTGGGCACTGACCTGGGCAGGGCCTCTGAGTCCCCTCCTTGAGGTCCCTGGGGGCCGCTGGTTTCTCACCAGGCTCCCATCGCTTTGTTGCCTTGGTAGGGAAGGTGGGGGTCCAGGAACCCAGGCACCTGGGTGGGCTAGGGAACTGGGGGCTGGCCCAACCCCTGAGGTCCCTGGGGGCTCACCGCCCACCTCCAGTGACAGTGAGCGGTGGAAAGGGGAGTGGGGAGCAGAAGGGGTGCTCCCATGCTCCTGTTGGCTCTGTCTCTGGGCCACCTGCTGAGCCCGCTCAGCCAGGGCCAGGGCCATGAGGCGTGCTGGGTTCTTGGGGGGCGGGGGTGGGGCCCCCCCAGGGCGCAGGAGGGACAGGGGTGGGGGCAGCAGCGGTGAATCCATGCCAGGACCTACCCAGAAAGGAATGACGACAAGAGTCAGCCAGATTCTGGGTGCAGCTTCAGGGTCTCTACGGGTGTGGGGTAGGCTGAGCAGGACTCACCGTGCTGGCCTTGGGCTCCCCGGGGAACAGGCAGTGCCAGCTTGCTGCAGATCTCCTGTTGGCAGGTGTCACTCAGCTGGGCCTCGGCTCCACGCAGCAGCAAGGGGATGAGATGGGGCCGCAGGCCTGGGCTGGGGCTGAGGGCTGGTGCTGGGGTGACTGAGGCAGGCGTTCCCCCAGCCCCCAGCAGCTCCAGGACAGCAGGTGGCACTGATACAGCCAAGGGCTCTGAGATGTCCAGGGCAGTGGGCGAGGCAGGGCTGGTGGTCCCACGGGGTGAGAGGGCCTGGGGGGTCACTCTGGGTGGGAAGGCAGAGGCAGGGGCAGGGGGTGCTGGGCTGGCGGGAGGTGCCGGATCCCCCGGTGTGGGGCTGCTGCAGCGAAAGGTAAGGGATCAAAGTCGAGCCCCCGGAGCCCCTCCAGGCAGCGGGGTGGGCTGAAGTCCAGCTCGTCACCATCATCCAGCCAGGCCGAGGTTCGATGTGAGGGGAACCAGAGAGTGCCCCTAGACCAGCTGCCGAGGATCCAGAGGAGGAGGACTCAGAAGAGGAGGAGGACTCAGAGGAGGAGGAGGATGAGGACAGGCTCTCGCAGGAGCCAGCAGGTGCCGGGCCCACAGGGAAAGCATCACTGCTGGAGTGCGGTCGCCGTAGCCTGTGCAGCCTCTGGAGGCCTGGAAGCGGGGGGACAGTAGGGTGTCAGGGGCCAGAACTATACATACTCATACATCAATAATAGGGGACATAACCCAGTAGGTTAGGCTGGGGAAGTGACACGGAGAGACGCTTGCCTGGATAGGGTCACAGTGGCTGCAAATCCAGGGAGAGCTGTTAGCTGTTCAGACTCGCAGTGATAAAGGAAATAAACTGGCAAGGCCATGATGAGAACCTTCTACACCCCAAGGCAAGCCTGCTGTCTGACAACCGCACAGCTGGCGAGCATGAGACCAGTGGGATCTCACAGGCTCTCCCTACTGGGAGTGCAGAGTGGGGCGACTATTTTTGGAAAAAGATTGGGCCTTGGCACGTATAGTTGAACAGGAGCATGCCCTACGGCATGCACCTCCGCTCCGGGGTACGGGTAACCCTCTCTCAAGGGCACGGGTGTGGCAGGGATTGCTCGCCAGAGCTCCCCAGCCCACTGGGAGTAGGATGGACGGGCAACTCTGGATGGGACAGCCACAGCTGGACACCAGAGAGCAGCCAAGAGGGACGAGCCTGAGCCACACTCAGCCATGTGGGTGGCAGTGAGTGAACAGTCAGATTCACATCCAGCCCCTCACCCCCTTTCTTAGGATAGGAATCCTAAGGAACTTAAGAACTAAGGAACTTTAGGAATTTAAAGTTTCCAAAGCACTAGGACTGTGCCCTGTGCTATTTCCCCAGATGCCTGCAGGCGATAAAACCTTAGAGCAAGGGGATGCGGACTGTCAGACCTAGAGGGCGCCTCTGCTGGAGAGGCAGCAGATGGGAAAGGGGGGAGCTTGCAGGTAAGGGCTGAGGCTCTTGCAGTTCTGGCCAGTGGGTTCATGGCTGTTCATTTTATTATTTAGATTTTTTTTTTTAAAGGAATGAATAAAAGCCTGACAGGATCCTGCCTGGGCCAATGATCACAGTACCTCATGAACCAAGAGTGATGCTTTATCCAACTCACTGCACTTAATGTCCAGATTTGGAACAACAACAACAAAAACTCGAACCCCCTGAATTTGAAGTACATTTAGAGGCCACCTCAGGGCCCCTGGTCCTCCCAGCTCCACCTGGGCACAGGCATGAGCCACCCTGCACTCACCAGCCCCGCTGGCCTGCGATGACAGAGACTCCTCACTTTTGGCAGATCTCAGGGTGACTGTGTCTGGTCGGCCACCTGCTAGAAGAGAGGGGGATGGTCATGGGGCATTCCAGAGTGCCACCCCCCACCTCCCCCACCTCCCCCACCTCCACCACCCCCACCACGGCCTCTGACCTGAAGGCTGCGGTGGAGCACGGGTGCCCCCCAGCCAGGGTAGAGGCTTCTTTCGGGGGATGCTGGGGCCCCGGCCCAGTGCAAAGAAGGTCTTCCAACTGCTTCCCCCTGGCTTTCGCTGCTTCTCTCCTCTCTCCCCTTTCCTCCTGGGGTTTGTGGGAGACACAGGAGGCAGTCTGAGGATCTGGGGCCTCCAGGCTGGCCCTGTGCTCCCCCGGCATCCCACTCACCTTTCCACAGGTGAAGCTGGGGCCTTGGGAGTTGTGGGCTCGGTGGGAGTCCCCAGCCGGCCCTGGGTGCGAGCCTGGGCTTCCTCCAGGGTCAGCAGGCGAGTGGAGGGGCCGCTGCCCGCAAGGGACTTGGGCCTGGGGAGGAGGCAACGGCCTAGGGAGTTGGGAAAGGGGATAGGTGTCAGCTCAGGGGGGCCGTTCAGGGCCACAGGCAAAGCCAAGCGCTACAGCCCAAGCCCCGGCCGGCCCCGCAGCGTGCCCACCCGGGCTGGCAAGGCAGGGGGCCAGGGCGGATCAGGCGGGAAAGGGCGGGCAGCAGGCAGGTGAGGAGGAGGAGTGAGGCGGAACGAGCTGATGAGGAGGCAGCTCCCGGCAGCCAGCGAGGGCAGCGGCTCTGGCTTCAGTTACCTCGGGCCAGAGGGCCCTCCGACGTGCTGAATCCTGATTGGGCTGGGGTCCGGGATAGGGCGGGGAGTCTGGGTGGGGCCGGGGTGGGGTCAAGTCTGGGGACCTCCCACCTCCTCCCAGGTGGACCCCTGGCCCCAAGAGCCCCCAGGAGCTACAAGGGGTGAAGGAAGAACGATGTCCGGGCCAAGAAGTGGGGATCCTGAGCGTAGGAGCTGAAATGAGAAGGGGGGGGGAGGGGAGGGAGAGGCCGGGGCGGGGTCCTCAAGGAGCCAGGAGGGAGGTCCAGCTTCAGTGGGGTAGGGATAGGGTGGGGAGCCCACCTGCCCTCCCACTGCAGCCCTAACAATGAGGGGGCAGTAGCCAGGACATCAGGCGGCGGGATGGGCATACCTGCAGGGTCGAGGCCAGCAGAGGTGAAGGTGTCGCTGAACAGGACATCCACGTGGGTGAGCAGGAATTCCACTACCACGGACTGCACCCGGACCTCCCTGAAGGCTGCTGCCCCACCCAGCCCCACGGACTCCAGTTCCATGGACCTGGGTGAGGAGGAGGAGGGAAGCCAGATGCTCTGAGCCCCAGCTGGTGGGTTCCCA